TTTAAATCTCTTGAAGATTTTCTGACAAAATGTTTTTCTTTTGTTTGTGGGAATAGAACCTCACAAATTAGTTAGCTATTTCCAAGTCTGTGGTAAGCAGTTTACTTTTTAAAGGTATTTGTTATTTCTTGGGTCTTTTCTTGTTATTTTGGAAGTTGCCTAGAAATTTGAAAGTGTATTGGTTAACACTTTGATAGTTGATATTTGAGATGAACAAGTCGTTAAAGGTTTTGATAGTTGATATTCGAGATGAACTTGTCGAAGTAAGTTTCATAGTTGATATTTGAGATGAAGTTGTCGAAGGAAGTCCGTAATAGCTGATATTTGAAATGAACTTGTTGAAGGAAGTCCGGTTTAGTTGATATTTGAGATGAACTTGTCGAAGGACGTCCGTTTTGCTTCTAAGATGGCTTGCCTTAGGACAGCTGATTGTCGTCTCCAGGTTTGATGGCTTGCCTTAGGACACCTGATTGTCGTCTCCAGGCTTGTACGTCTTCCGTTCTTCCAGTCTGTTCAGCAGTGCTGCGAAGGGCGTCCGCTTTCTTTTCGGTTCCTCAAGGTATTTAGACCAGAACACCCGATAGTGTTTAGTCTTGACACGAGGAATAGCTTTCTTCGCATATCTGATAGTTTTATTCGTGATTTGGGCTACGCAAAACGTATACTCATACGGCAAAAGTCTTTTATTCGCAGTTGACTTCTGACTTCAAACTACCATGACTTCACTGTATGCCGAATTCGACCACTTCAGCAGTACTCATCTTACCTTTTCTCTGTATCTGTGTCCATCTGTCTCTACATCTCTGAATCACTCTTCTTTCCCCTTCTCGAATTTTCCTCACCACAAAGTTACTCCTGTCCCTGAAACCCCGAAGTCAACTGAAATTTGAAATGAATAAATAAATATACGTGATTTCGTTGGAAAGTTTGTCAGGATGTTGGTTGAAGTTTATGGGGCTTGGGTGAAGTTAGTTCTCTAAAAGGTTTGTGAATGTAGGCCAGTCGGCCTTCTTGGAGTTCCATGATAGCTTGGTTGCCATTTTCGATAGCATGCGTTTACTGCCGATGGTAATACTAGCAATGACTGGTTTGTGGCCAGAACCAGGATCGCCAATTATTTTGTGGTGCATATACTCGCAGATGTCACTTAAACCCAGGAGCAAGTCAGGGGTTGTTCAGGTTCCATTGCAGTGCAGATATGTAGCAGGATCCTCATCGCTGTAAATAGTTTCTAGTGGGTTGCTGTTAAGCATGTCTTTGATTTTCTTTCCAGCCATGTTTTTATTCTTACAGACCCATCTGGTGGAATGGACGTTGAGGTCTCCTAATGCTACAGTTTTGTGCGAGATATTCATAAAATCAAGGTTGATTTTTATTCTGGGGTGGTTCATAGACTCCGTAACTCTTAAACATTCAAATTAGTTTGCCAAAATTTATGAAAGCGTTTCATTTTTTTAACTTTAAACAAAATTTACCGAAACATAAAACTTATGTACAATTAGAGACGGAAGATTTCCCTTTTGATATCTCGTTATTATTTTGATCTAATTTTTTTATCAAGTAAATTAATTGAAGATCTTGGTTAAATTGTTATTTCCAAACTATCTTCTATTTTTACCTTTATGTCAAATCATATCATTTTTCATTCATGTTATTGTGAAGCATCTTTTGTTTGGGGTCTTTTGTTTGGGGATTCAGTGAACACAAGTTGTAAATAAACCCCAGTATGGAAAATATCCAAAATAACCTCTTTATTAACTCAATCAAGAATGAAAATATGCATCAAATTAGCCATTTGATATATTCTTCACTTACAATGGCTCAACAACAAATGCATGATTATATTGCTTTCACTGTTTTCATTTTAAAATGGATTTCCGTATGCACTTTTACGTGTTAATAAATTCTTTGTCTTTTGCCGATGGCTAACTACTGAAAGCCAGGGCAATTCCTACCTCGAAGGTAGAGACTGTGGTTATAATTAACCTCACAACCCTATTTACCCTCAAGATATGTGTCATCCTCGTGGGGGGTGTGGTGCGAAGGTTTGAAGTGTGGTCGATAACCAGAAGGCATTGTCGCAGACATTGAAAAGTGGCCATGAGAGTTCTGGGAAAGGTGATAAGCGAACTAGCGCTTACAGACAATAGTAGTCGGCACAGCAATCAATCAAGCACTATTACAATTAAGTACATTAGGAAAGGTAGACGTTGTTGGTAAATAGAAATGACATATTACATAGATCGCTTAAATAACTGGTCATTTGTTGCTTCTTAAATTTCATTATAACGTAAATCAACTTTATCAGTAATGTGGTGATAGGATGTCGAATATGTGGAACTAGATTCCGAGTTGTCTCGTGTAATTGGTAGACTGCTCCCTATTCAGACCCTGAGATTAGTCAAAGCAGCTGTCAAAACTTGAAGGAGTTTTTAAGGGTGTGAATTTCGATCAACTGAACTGATATGTAGTTTATATTGATTTGCGGATTATTATGAGGTAGTTCATAAATAATTCCCATAGGTCAGAGGTAACCAACATGGATGTCGATTTCTCATCTCAGACTTGTCCAAATGAACATTAACAGCAGTAATGTCTTGTATTACTCAACTCCGAGTATTACTTTTTTCGGAGTTATTTATATTCCGATAAGGTTTACACCATACATCATTCAAGTGTTTGCCATCTGGCCACTACCTATTCATAAAGAATTCATAATGTTGTTGTCATTGCTCGAATGAAACGATTGAAAATCAATAATCATTGTGCACGGTGAGCAGGCACATTATTCTCGGCTAACGAAATACCAAAATTGATTTCCAATAGACTCTCTGATCGTGTAGTCGTAATTAGAAAATAAAATGAAAATATACAGAAAAATCAATATTGATTTGCAGATTTATCCCAAGTCTCATGTTCAGGTATCTAAACATCTAATATACAAATAATTCTCCATCGAAGGAGGAAAGGTTTTGATAACAACGCATCCATTTCTTCTCAGGTGCATTTAGGCACATTATTCAGTTAATAGAAGGAATTCAAGTAGAAATAGGAAGAAAGTCATGTTTTTATACGAGAAATAGGCCTCTTCATTAAAATGAGTTGGAGACCATGAGTCAAGGTGATTCGAAGACAGATGTTCAAAATAGCATTTAGAAAAAGATATTCATATGGCGTTTGAGATAACTTTGACAGTCCCAACAGGAAATAAGAGCACCAGATTGGTAAATAACAAATTTAATGTGATAAAAGTTCCTTCGTGTCTGACAGACGAAAACATTCGACTCTGTGAGAAGTTGCACTATGCGACGCTTGTATGAGCTTCCAGCACAGAAGATCATTTCACTTGCTTCTATGGAGATAAGGAATGCCACAAGTTTCTCATGGTGGTGTAACTTCAACATTCATGCTTACGGAAGGGTATTTTGATATAAACTGGAATTCGCAGCTTTAATTCAGTAATTAAGGAGAAATTAACGACCACGATCTAGTTTTATTATTACGAAAAACAAACTCAAAATATGGACTGTGAAATGTCTAACACACTTCCATGTTTAAAATGCTACATTAAAATCTTCTTACAAGATGAAGCACGATGAATAAAACAAAAGCAAATCATTAACTTAAATTTAAACAACAGCTCACTACAACGTTGAAAAACAAGAAAACATACTCCAAGTTGATGAAAGATTTATTATTTGGGATTTTAAAATATAAAGGCAAAAGAAATAAATATACCTTCTAGTTTAAGAATAAAAAACACGAGAATCGGAGAAAAATGCCATTCATCCTTTAGAATTCATCATTGTAAGGATATTCAGGATGCTGGGCAATTCTGTAAAGTAGGGAAAAAATTATTCACAAAGCAGCTTTTGCAAGATAATATTAAAATTTAACTCAAACGGTAGCTTACGATGGTACCTTGAACAGGCGAATGTTCATACCAGAATTGTTAAGCTTGTCCATCTCCTCATTAGTCAGCTCGAAACCAAAAACCTGCGATGAAATGATTAGAAATGCCTCTAAGAAACAATAGGAAAAAGCAACAGCAAAACTGAAGGAGAGAACTAACATCAAAGTTTGTCCGAATTCTCTCGGGAGTAACACTCTTGGCGATAACAACCAAATTTCTTTGCAGACCATGACGAATCAGAACTTGGGCAGGAGTAACTTTGTGCTTATTCGCGATCTCAACAACAGCCTCCAGTTCAAACAGAGACTTAACGTTTTCCCTAGAATAACGCATACCACAGTGATTATCTTAAGCATTTGAAAACTCAAATTTAAAACCAGATATATCTACTTCAAGTAACCAGGGGAGCCAAAAGGAGCATAAGCTTCAACCTGAATGCCTTTCGATTGACAGAATTCAATCAACTTGGTGTTAAGAAAGTGAAGATGCACTTCAATTTGATTAACAGCTGGCACCATCTTTCCATGCTCGATGATACGCTCAATTTGGCGTTTGTTGAAGTTTGACACGCCAACAGACTTTGCCAGTCCAGCTGAAACCAACTTTTCCATTTCTCTCCACGTGTCTTCCAGCTTGTGATTCTCATAAATTAGTACATCCCGATTGTTTAAATCAAAAACGTAACCATCTAAGACTTTGAATGAAACGGGAAGGTGAATGAGATAGAGATCTAGATATTCAAGACCGAGATCTTTCAACGTTTCTTCACATGATCTTTTAACGTCTTTCGGATCATGTCGATCGCACCAGAGTTTAGAAGTCACAAAAATATCTCCCCGTTTAAGATTGTACTCTTTCATTGATTCTGCAATAGCCTGGCCAACTTCCTTCTCATTTTCGTAAAACATTGCAGTGTCAATATGACGATAGCCTGAGGCAAAAGCAGCTTTCACAGCATTAACCGCATCAATATTATGAGCCTGTTTAAAAGTAGAACGTAAATTCGAAGCTTACATCAAGTGTTCCTAAAGCAATTTGAGGAATTTCGTGACCACTATTTAATTTGAGAACTGGAGCTTGAGGCATCGAGAGCTAAATATCGGCGACTGAAGTAGCACGAATTATTCGGTTCGTTTAAACAAGAAGGTCATTATGTATCACATTTTATTAACTAATAAATCACTTCAATTATTTACTTTCTATTAGTATTTTATTTAATAAGTCTGAATTTGACATCATGATTATTTCTAAGGGTTTTGTCATGTGTCACACATTGTATTTGCTAAAACCCTTCATTTCAATAATTACTTAAGTTAATAATGCTATTTTTCAACTCGCATTTGTAATTTCTTGAAAATTCCTGCCATAGCATTTTTATTTTAATTCGAAATATAAGAATAGAGCAAATTTATTTCCTACACAACTTTGTATATTAATGAATATAACCTAGTTACTGCCAATACATTATCAAATATAGTTTGCAAATATTTCTCTATTCATTTAGGTTTATAAACAAAATAACGCAATTTAATGTATTGGTGAAATAGTTACAATTAACAAATATCATAATCCATGCACTTCCCTTTTGCGTGGAATTGCATAACCTACTAGAAGGTCGTAATCTTGAGAATTATGACGATAATTGAGCAATTGAATAAGAATTGACTGCGAGTTATAACCAAGCAGTAGAGATGAATGAACTACCACACTGTCGTAGATGATTCGGCTGTTGTTATTGCCCAGCAGAGGAATGTCACTTATCTATCAATTGGAACAAGATAATGAGTTGTACAAAATGTATTTAATAAAGTACAGAGAGAAAGGATGAGAGATATGGGGGTGAGATAAAGTAATTTTGCGAGAGAATATATTGCAAACATGTGTCTACGTGTAGGCATAGCATGAGTGTTTATTTGGGAGAGGTTAATACGTAAAGACTTTATGGGTTATCTGAAAAAGTGCACGAATGAATTCACAAGCATAGAGGCAATTTTAAGTGTAACGTGACAGAGTGAACAAAAGAGGAACCGATGACCTCATCCTAGCATGAAAGATGGTTCTTCGAGTCGAATTGTAATAATAATCGTTATGATTAATGGGAGTGTGGAGTAAAATGCGTTATAGGTTATCCTTCAATCACACCTTTTCATTTGCCGACTCCACACAGTCTACCTCTCCACATTCTTGCTTTGTATCATTGTCATTTTTTCTGTTTCATCTCGAAAATGTTGGCTCCTCACAATCTTATCTGCACAATATTAAGTTGATTTTGGAACTGGAATGATAACACATGGGAGAATTATATTGAATGGATGGACATTTCCGTCATCTTCACTTGGATTTAAAACGACACCATAAAGCCCTCTTTCAAACAAAATTAATTGGAATCATTCATATTAGGGAAATTGGCATTTTCATATATAAAAGTAGCACACGAATCAGAACTATGTGACAAGTCATCTGTGGACACGAATTTGTTATACTGCAAGGTTATTAAGAGTGTTGATTTTATTTGATTTGGGCCTGAGAAGGGCCCAGTTGAATATATTTCAGATTATTATTGTTGAAAGGGTGGAAATCTCTTGATTACAAAAAGTCTAGTTAGGAGTCTCAAGA